TCCCCGTGGCAAATCCCACAGGGGCTGGCCGGCATCTCAATCCCTCGGAACAAGCAGCCGGTTTTCCCAGCATGCCCGTCACCTCCAGGACAAAAATCTCAAAGCCCAGCAGTTAAGGCCTTTGTTGGTAAACCCAAAATGTCACCGCGACACTGAAAACACCACAACAGACAGGCATTAGAAACAAACTCCTTATCGCCCTTTGCCACACGCCACAGAGGAGAGTGGAAAATTTTTCAATATTGATAAAATTACATAGAGGGTCTTTACAAAGGAACAGCACATGCTCACAGAAGAGATGGAATAATTAGGGTTGTTTGTCTGAGAATTAAGCTGTCGTCTAAAAAAAAAAAAAAAAGTAAATTAAATAATAGGATTAATGGCGAAACATTTCATGTTGGGGGGGGGTGGATTGGAAGTCCAAAGGATCTCAAAGACAAAATCAGGGTCTGTTGAATATCAATGCAAACCCCCTTGCCAGCCATTTACAAACGGAATGTTTCCAGAGTTCAGATTACCTCCTCCATGTTCTTATCCTTTAACTACCTGACTCTCACCAGAGCACCAGGCACCCGAACAAAGCGGAGAGATTTACACCAACTCGGTGGGCTGCCAAGCAGCGTACGCATGCGGAACGCAAACATGCGCGCAGTGGACGACCTGCGACTTAGTAACACACAGGAGCCACAAGCCCTTACCCAGAACGTTCCAGAGGGTTCTGGAAGACGTCCCTCTCGATGAACCGACACCAGCCTCTCTACTTTGATGTTGAAAGGCAAATGTGACGCTACTCGGTAGGGGAGACTGGTGGCATGGGTATTCCTGCCGACGATTCCAGAGGTTTGGAACTACATCGGAAGGGGGGGGGGGTGGTCAGGGCAGGAGGGTGCAACATCAAAAGGAGAGCCTCACATGCTCTCAGTGGGGCTCAGTAATCCCCCAGCCCTGCTGCGCTTCAGTATCCCCCACCCACTTCCCTAAGCGGACTGTCATCCCCCCTCCCAATGAGAACAGGCCATCAGAACCCCTTCACTTCCGTTAAAGCACTAAAAGCTCCATATTAAAATAATAATAATAATAAAGAAGCCAGTAAGGGCAGCAGCACTGACGACGTTCCAGCAACAGGCCCGGATTGAGTTAGCCTCACATTAGTTTACTAATGTCTCAGATCCCATGTGACATAGGTTTCCATTGACTGAGGGGAGAGGAGCGAGAGAGAGAAAATGGAAGAGGGAAGTGAATGAAGGCAGAGGAACGAGAAAGGCGAGAACGCAGAGGCACAAGTACGATAAGGGAGAGTGGGAAAAGGAGACCATTCAGAGGCAGACTGGAGAAAAGGATAGGGTACAGTAACAGGGGATGGGAAGGGATGGGAAAAGATGTCAAAGACGACAGGGTGGGAAAACATCTCAGTAACAGGAAACTGGTCACAAGGAGATGTGTGGGTAACAGACATTTAATGGGTAGATGTGTGTATATGAAGCAATGCACAAGTGAGTAGGGTTAGAAGGTTCCTGGAGGAATTGGGGTTAAGGGCTTAAAGGGTGACATCACCCTGCCAGCCACACCATTTGACCCTTCTGACCAGAGACAGTTCTAACCCCCAGAGCCCCACATCATTCCATTTCAAAAGGGGAGTATTGGCCTCCAGTCCAAAAGGGGGCGCCATCTCCAGATTCAAATAAATCACATGGCATTTTACAAGCACAATTCGGATGTTCTCTTTTACTGGGCCGGATGACAGCCAGTCAAGCATGTCAACATTTTCCTCATAAACAAAGACACTTTTGATCTGTATTTTGTGTTAATTTGTGTTTAGTGGTAGGACATGACAAATAAATACTCGAATCTTGAATGACTGAATTAATAGCAGTAAAATGTCAGCCATTTGTGGATCGGGGCCCATCTTGAAAGCCCACTGTGATCACCAGAAATCACTCATCCGTCTCTGGAGAACTGGCACACGTTCTGGGCCAACACCGATCAGCCATGCAGTTAAAACGGCCACCCCTGGATCTCCTGTGCTCTCCAGTCATCTGGTGCACAAACTGGAAAAGCAACATTTCACAGGGTGGCAACAAGCTGCTTTTTCGCCAAATCCTCACAGCCGCTGCTGCCAGTCAGAGTGCAGTTTACAACCTCCTCTGAACTACCTGGGGGGGAGGGGGGGACACACACACACACAGTAAAAGGTCATATTCCTATGGGGCACGTCTGTGTGTGGAGGGACATCCCCCACCCCCACCTTGGCTCAAGCATCATCTGTCACAGTGCCGGCTGGTCAACATCTTAGCCAGAACCTTCTACATGCCAAAGTACTAGGGCAGCTGCTTGATATAATCAGTTACTTAACCAGGTTTGGAACCAGGACTACCCCCCCCCCCCCACCACCGAACCCATATTCAGTTTTAAGAGCGTGTCAACAACCCAGTACATTTTGCTACTTCCGCTTTAAATACTCCTTTCCAACAAATACTAAGGGAGAGTATGGAAGTCACTGCTGCCAGTGGCAGATGCAAGACAAAAGTTAAAAAAAAATAAAAATAAATTAAACACGAAGTGAGGACCTTTCGTTAGAACAAAACTCAGCATATTTCTGCCAACTTTCCCCACACGATCTGACGTGTGGATCATAGACGATTCCATTCCTTACCTGTCACCATGCTGAGATTAATAAACTCCGGGACGATTTTTTTTTGTGTGTGTGTGTGTGTGTGTCTTATAAAGCACTATTTTCGGGGGGAAGAAATGACAGCGCTAAGCGCGCGGTGTTCCAGCAGCCGGATTGTAAAAGCGCTTGGCGCATATGATAAGGACGACAGACCGGGGAAAGAAAAAAATAAAAATCAGGAGCTCCGTGTTCAGATATCGCTTTAGATTGTTGCCATGCAAGACTTTATCCTGACCGATGACTAACGTCAATTTGCTTGGCAGGGCAGCATCGGGACAAGGGGTGGGGGCCGTTTCTCGCATTAATCGCCATGCATAAGTAGGTATGCGCCTCGGGAATAGGTGAAACACAAGGTCGGATGGATCGTCAGCGGGTGCTTCCATATCTGCTGCGAAACTCCTGAAGAGGTGTCATGCCGGACCTGGGTTATACTTCAACGGCAAGGACATCGCGTAACCACGGGACTAAGATGAGAAATGAGGAAGGGAGACATAACGGGAATCCCATTACCAGGGGAGAAAAAAAAACAAACAAAAAAAAACATCGGCACTCCCCTGTCGAAGGCAACTGTTTCAACAAGGATTCAGTAGCCTATGTTTCAGCACCATCAAACGACAATGACGGGCACGACAGGTGCCTCAGTGCCCCCTTGCTGCCCCATCCCCGGGTCTCCTCCTACACGGCGTTTAAAGATCCTCAACACAGTCTCCGAGGAATTAATTATCTATCATGCATCGCTGGAAACATTTTTAATTTGCCCAAATACTGCTGCCGTGGCGTTTAGGGGAAATCAGGACGCCTGAGACAAGGAGACAGGTCTACGCAAAACTATATATGGAACATATGACTGCATAATTCCTAATCTAGTAAGATTACATAATACACATTAAACACAGTGCCACGCATCTTAAAACACTCAAGGACTGGGTTAGAGGACATCTTGAAAAAATCTTCAAGGTTAGCGAGCCAACCCCCCCCAAAAAAAGTCCACCAAGAAACAGATCGGTCAGATCTCGCAAACCCCAAATCCCCTCCAAACAAGCGAGACAAATCAAGATCAAAATACTGGAAACCTATGTCTTCGCATTCTTTTTCGGGAATATAAACTTGTCGTCTGTTACTCTGCCAGACTCTCAAGCGCTCAGATATCAGGGACGGAAGGTAAAATTACAGGGCTTGTCGCTCCCATGCACAGCTGTCACAGGGACCGCCGCAGGACGGCTCCCCTCTTCCCGACGCACAAGTAATTGATTCTAATTTAGGCTATCAAAGTCCCATAATTGAAAAGTTATTTTAATGGCCCACATCAGAAACAAAATCAGCCGTTAATGGAACAAGGGAATGCAAAGATAATGAACCGCTAATTAGGCGGCATTAAAGGCGAGAGATTATAAATGAAAACTGGCAAATCAAGACTCTGAAAATAAGAGCCATTCTCAAAACTGATGATCACTTATCGCCTCAAACATAAAATTTCAATTAGCTACACAGTTTAATAACTCCTTACCCCCAGTCATTGTCCAATCAAGTGAACTACTATTCAAACTAGTCTGGTTCTACCTAACGTGGTTCCCCGAAATAACGGAACCGGTTAGTAATCGATCTTTCCAACTAACGTTAATTGCTTAATTGGTAACCTTGAGCACACGTGTCGCACATGACCAGGGCGAGACAATATAGGTGACAATCATAGGTGACATAGCCGGCCGCCTAGGGCGCCAACTTCTTAGGGAACGCCGACTTGCCAGCCAATTTCCCTATACCTGGGACGGAGGGCGCCCATGCTTGCTTAGGGCGCCTCATCGGCTAGGACCGTTACTGCATATAAACAGCGTGGCGTTCAGCGCTGTCCCGGTCCGCCTCCTCAGTCCTTGGGGCTTTTAAAGATCAGCCCGCCGCTGGCACCGCTGAAATGCCAGGCTCCTTCTGTAGTGTCCTCCAGATGCCTTCTGTGTAAAGAAGGTTACCATGGCTGCCGCAGGTCGCCCCACAAGCGGGATGAGATCGTCACACAATTTAAGGCGCGTCACGGCACGAGCCCACTGCAATGTCCGTCAATCACTGCCTAAAGCAACTACTCCAAAATCCGCTTAAAACGCATGATTAAAGTGGTTTTGTTACAACTTTTAATCGCTAGTTCTGAGTTTGCCCAAAACTTTTCACTGCTTTGCATCGGGACATCCCCCCCGGTCGGAGCCTTGAGCTGCGCATCAGACCTCACGCCCCCTGAACACGCAGACATCCCCAACAGCGCCTGCGATTGCGGCATCTCGCTCACGCTCCCCAGCCGTTAACTCCCGATTCTCCGCAAGACTGCGGGACGGCCTACCTGTTAGCATACAGATGAGGAGAAGAAACGTGAGCTTCAGCGGCAGACTAATCCCGGAGCGACAAAAACACCTTCCCACCGCCATGACTTCCCGGCGCAAACTCACCACCGCACTCTCTCCAAACTCCAGAGCCTCCTCAGCAGCTACTCCATAAGGACCGGAGTGTCTGGGCTGTACCAACACCGGCGCAAGGCGGGGGGGTGGGAGGGAAAGCCTGACTTCAAACTGCTGTCAAAAATTAATAAAGGATTCTCAAAATGCCACAGGCGAAGTCGCGCGTCTGTGCCGCTACGTAAGCCGTGTCCCAGACCCCGTTAACTGTGGCACATTTATTTCCCTAACGAGGCGCCATTTCGCCCGATCCGCGGAGCCAGCGGTGCAGTTTTTGAAGTTGGTTTGTCTGGAATTCAGAGCGTTGGCGCAGCCGTCTGCCTCTCAGCCCCAGTTGATAGGAAACATGGAGCAGGCAGCGTGCCTTTCATTCATTACGAATATTATAAACCAGAATGGGATACCTTCATGCCTCATCGGCGGTTTCTTTTTTCATCCTGCCTTTCAGAGTAGTGTTGTTCTTGAGCAAGAAAGAAAGTCGCGTGGTTGATTTTTAAAATTACCAGGGTAATTTTGACGCTCTAATAAACGAATATGATCAAACAAAGCCACTTTGCGGGCGCTTTTCTGGACTTCCTGGCAGTGTCCATATATTTTCTTTTGCTTTTGTTGAAATGTTGGGGAGGGGGGATGTTATTTAAATAAATGGGATTTCAAAAAGTACAGAGTAACTGCAGTTGTCTATGCATTCTGGACTTTGCCATAAGTTTTGAATGCAGGTAGAAGGGCGTCGGCCAGCCAGAAACCAAGTCTGTAAGCACTCTTCCGAGGATGCCATTAGTTCGAGATGCAATATGAATCACTTTTAATGATAACATATTCCAAATATGGAAGCAATTATGATATAATTCCTGGTAGTTTGGTGTAACTGATACCTCATTATAAGGCAGTGGTGATAACCCAATCTTACTGCAAAACAATGGAAGAAAAACAAGTATTTTTGGGGTATTAAGAGGTTTCTTTAAACACATAAAATTCCAAAGGACAAATTCACTCCGCACACATCAAAAAACAAAGGTCTGCTGCATGTGACTGTGACTGGAACTGGCTGGGTATACTGACTGCTTAAACTTAAGCAAGGTCTAGTAATAGGCTTGGGGTGCAACATACATCTAGTTTTTTAGTTTTATATGTCCTGTTGCTGTATTTGAGTTGTATGGTTTTGGTAATCAGGTAGTACCCACACGCACACACTGCATTCCTGCGACAGTCTCAAATGTGGCTAAGCTGCATATAATGATGATTCTTGTTATTTTGTCATTAGTACATGTACTGATACAGAGGATCTCTTAAGTTTTCACATATTCCATCTTACTGTATTATGAGGTCATGGGCATAAATTACGGGGGGGAGGTTTGTAGCCCCCCCCC